AATCAAGATTTGGGCCACATCGCTGAATAAGGAACTCACTAAAGCTCTATCTGCAGGCAAAGGGAGTGCGGATTGGATAGTAACAAAAGGGAAGTATCAGGAAAACTTGAAAAAGAATGCACATCTACGGAAAGCTAGGTATCCAGCATATACTTCCAACTCACCTCAGTTCTGCAGGTATCGTGTTTTTCACTGTCTCTGTGCTATTTTACAATTTTATAAGTTTTAGAAAACTGATTGCAATGAAAATGGTTTTGTCCACAGGGATGCAATGAGTTTTATCCAGTGGAGGTATAATTGACTCCCTGTTTTGATTTGCGTCTAGATGTCTACCAAAGCCTCATGTAGTCACTGGGGACAGGCTTTTCAGATGTAGCTGATTCTAGAGTTTGTGACTCATTCATGGTCCAATGCTGGGATTAAGGGTGTGAGTGCTACACCTGCCCTAGGGTGGGTGGCCTGCACACAACAGAAGGGACAGATAGAGGCTTGTTCTCTCTTACTGCTTTTGCTGTCTTCTGCTGCCATGAACTGTTTCTCCTCGGTGATGTCCCCCTGCCAAGCCACCCTGCCTTTGACCCAGCCAATTACGGACTGAAACCTCTACAGACTGTGGGCTAAATACACCTTTCCTCCTTTAACTTTGGGAGTTGGGTATTTTGTCTCAGCAATGAGAAGAGAAACTAAAACACTCTCCATTTCACCAAGAAATCAATTAACAAATTAATTTCCACATTCTAGATTGTCTAAGTGTCTCTTGTTTGGAATCTCCTTTGAACTATTCTTTTAATTCCTTACTGGTTCCCTTGTTAATTAATAATTAAAGCAGGGGCTGGGGATTTAGCTCAGCGGCAAAAGCGCCTGCCTGGCAAGCACAAGGTCGTGAGTTCGGTTCCCGGTACCAGAGAAAAACAAAAACAAAAACAAAACAAATAATTAAAGTAAAATCTTCAACATACTTTTTTTACTTATATAAATTATGATTTACCTTGTTTAAAAAATTGTTTTTTGTTTTTTTTTTGTTTTTTTCCTGTACTGGGAATTGAACTCACCACCTTGCGCTTGCCAGGCTGGCACTATGTCACTGAGCTAAATCCCCAGCCCTAAAAAATTGTCTTAACAAAAGGCACAAGTACTGCTAGGAACTCCTAGTCAGCTGTATAAATACAGACTTTAGCCTCTATCCATATTTTCTTCTTTTTTTGTGGTATGTAAACTTAAATGTTTTAAGTAATTATATCTTAATATATTCTCTTTTCCCCTGCTATAGCTTACAGGCTGGTGACGATGGTTTGCTTGATAATTCATTATATAGAAAGCTGAACAGTGAGCCAGAAACCTGTCACAACCAGAGGAGAAGAGGACTTTGCCCAGAGATCTGGACCTGGCGCTGGATTCAGTAACTGAAGAAATTTGGATCTAACAAGTAAGCGAGTCCTACAGAATTCTTGTTGGAAGGTTGTTTTTGAAAACCAAAATATAGGTAAAGGCTTCCAAGGGCACATGCAGGTGTTGGCAGCTGAAGAGTTAACTGTAATTGCTGTTTGTGTTGTTGCTCCCCCTTGCCTAGCCAGCATCCAGCCTCTTCTAGATCAAGGAAACCTCCGAGCACTGAGGGTCTTAGTAGGAGGCAAAATCTGTCATCTGGGTTTGGAAGAACCAGGTGCTCCTCTCCAGGCTTTGCATCTTCAGGGAATGTTCCAAACGTACAGGTAGCTGGGAGCCAGTGCCCCTGCCAGCCCGACCGGATCCTTCCTGAGGCCTGAGCATGGCTCTTACCACCACTCGGCCTTCTGGGGTCTTTCCCAATTTCTGAGTGTCTTTCTCCAGTCTTCTAATTAATTCTTCAATTCCTCATAAATTCCTTTGTATTTAAGATTTCATCACCAAAACGTGACAAGTGCAACAACTTTGGAAATATATAAGAATCTTAAAACTAATATTAAGAGTGATGTGTGTCAAGTTGGCAATCTCGCTAAAGATATTGTTTTTAGGTGCAGAAGGGTAGGGCTGAGGTGCTTGGTGGCTAACAAGCTGCAGGTGATGTCGATGCTGGGCTACAGATCATGCCCTAGGTACGAAGGCCAAGAGCAGTAAGAACCTGTAGAGAAGCATCTTGCAAGCAGGAAGAAGTTAAAAAAAAAAAGGAAGAAGTAACATTAAGAATGGTGTTAAATTTTGCATAAAGGACTTTGGCCTCAATCCTGAGGCCATTAAAGGATCCAGAGGAGGTGAGATGAACAGATTCCTGTCTTTAAAAGTCCCTGGATGTTATGTAGACAACTGAATGGGAAAGGAGGGACTGGCAGGGGAGCCAGTTAGGTACAGTAGGCAGGATGCTGGTGTCCCAAGGATATTCATGTCGTTATCCCCATATGGTACAAGTAAGCGGGACTTTGCAGAGTTTTTAAGTTAAAGACCTTCATCTGGGGAGATTAGCCTGGACCAACATAATCCCACACATCCTTCAAAGGGAAGAACTTTTCCCAGCTGGGTGAGAGGCAGAAGTGATAATGGAAATATGCGAGAGAGATAGAATTACGCTTGCTTTGAAGAAAGAGTCCATTTCCTGCTGAGGAGTATAGGAAACGAACTCTCTTCCAGACCCTCCCCCAGGAAACATGCTCCACCTGTTCCGAGCCCAGGGAGACCTGGCAGGCTCCTGACCTGCACAGTTGTAAGATAATATGTTTGTGTTGTTTTTATGTCACCAAGATCATGATAACTTATTACAATGACAATAAGAAACCAAACCAGATGTGGTGGCACACACCTGTAATCCCAGCACTCTGGGAGGCTGAGGCAGGAGAATTACAAATTGCAGCCCAGCCTGGACAACTTAGCATCTTAATGAGACTCTCTAAAAATAAAAAAAAATTTAAGAAGGGTTGGAGATGCACCCAGCACAAAGGCCACTGTGCAAACAAAACAAAACAAAAACAAAACGAGACGGATTCCATGGTGGAAGGATCGCACTTTAGAGAGCAGCAGCACAGCAGGAGGAATCCGGGTGTGGAAGATCATGAAGGGTCAGAGGTGAAGAGACACTCACCAACCCGGTGCGTGTGAAGTTGGGTGGTGAGGTAGAGGAAATCCAAAGGAAATTCTCAGATTTCTCTCTTGGGCAAATGGGACCATGAGTCAAAAAAACTGCAAGAAAAGCAAAACAAAACAAAACAGGAGGGTGTGTGTGAGTGTGTAGGACAGTGTGTGTGACAACATGTAAGAGTGAAGATGTGTGAGAGTGTATGACTGGGACCGTGAGTGTGAGAGTGTTGTGAGACTGTGCGTGACCATGTTTGACAGTGAGTGTGAGCACAGAACAAACACCCCTGCTATTACTCGGCTCCTCCCTTCTGATTCCATTTGTACCCAGAAACCTGCTAATCTCCACTCCTCCAGGACAGCCAGCAGTCACTGCCCCGCCAGCGCTAACAGCTGCCCCGCTTGTCAGCAACAGGCTGGCTGTCAGTAAACCAACTGCCATCTGATCACAGACCAGGCCCCTGCGAGTTCAGTCAGCACAAATAATTCACCAGGGTTTGATCTCTCCCTGCCCCCTGCCCAGCTAAGAGAATCTTCAGCCCCTGCAAAGTGGAGGGTCAGCCCTTGAGGCCTGGCAACCCCGGTTCTGGCCTCATCCGCGGCACAGACGCCCTGTACTGGAGGCAGGAAGCAGCCTGGAAGAGGGAGGGCTGGAAGAGGTGGCCTAAGGCCTTACCCAGGGCCAAGTCAACTGAGAACCAGGAGGTTCTGCGTTGCAGCTTCCCAGCTACGTATAGTGCACACACTCACGCACACTGGGCAGGGTCTCTGGGGGAGAAATCACCCCTTCTGGGCCCTGGCTGAGGAGCACCCAAATGAGGCTCAATCAAGTAGTTCTGGGAAGCTCGGGAGTGGGAGAGAGGTGATCTGGAGGTATCTGGTGCCATCATAAAGGCTGCTTGGGCAGTCTAAGACAGTAATGACTTTCCAAGCCTGCTCTGTGTGTGTGTGTGTGTGTGTGTGTGTGTGTGTGTGTGTGTGTTACTGAGGATTGAACACAGGCCCTTTGCACAGAACTACATCTTCAGCCCTTTTTTATTTCTTATTTTGTGACAGGGTCTCAGTAAGTCATTAAGCTGCCTAGGCTGGGTTTGAATTTGGGGTCCTCCTGCCTCAGCTTCCTGAGTGTTGGGATTACAGGCATGAACCACCACAGCCAGCTTGAATTATTTCTTTACCTACCTCAGACTTACTTTCTTTGTGAAAGAGAGGGATTATTGCTCCCCACGTGAGGGGAACATGGAGGGTCTTAAAGGTTCACATGTCAGAGCCACAGTTTGACGTCAGTCCTTTTCTGCCAAAATCTACATCCTTTGCCCTTTTTTCCAGGTTGGTGTCCTATATGGGGAAGGGCGCTCATTCTCTCATCCCTTTGTCAACCAGAGGTGGCTGTGGATCTCCTGCTAAAGGTGGCCAGCACATCCAAGCATGCTGTTTGGGGTCACTGTCACCCATGGTAATGGCATAATTCTCTAACCAGGGAGACATCCCAGGCCCCTTCCCTGTGCCTAGCCCCTGCCTCAATGCTGCAACAGCGACAGGGCTGGAATCAGGGGGTGTTGGAGTCACAGACTAAAGTAGGGTCAGGCCAAAACCCAGGTCTACTGGACTGTGGGGCCTGTGCACCCACCCTCAAGGCCAGGCGGTCCCCAGGGGCGATGCTTTCAGGTTTGCAGAGTGTTCTACACACATGCCATGCGGCAGAGCGGCACCCCCAATTGCACATGCCACTTCCTCTTGCTGTGGCCTGCAGCACTTTTCTCAGTGCAGCACACAGGGTCTAGACAGGGGTCTGATGTAGACCGGACAGGACTCCTGAGAAGGCTTATGAGAAGAAGTTTGCCTGCTACCAGTGTCCTCACCAAGGAGGGCACCCACCTTCTGAAGTGTCGCAGCCGGCGGCAGCCTCATTCCCCCATCAGTCACCCCCCTCCAAGATAAACAGCTCTACTTACATATTCCTTAATATCCTTCGACTTCACAGCCTTGTAAGAGTAATATGCCGGGTAAAGGGTGCCAAATATAAGCCTAGAGGAGAGAGAGGAAAAAGGAGAAATGTGATTTTCGTTCATCCTGTTTGGTGGAAAATGTCTGCCTCGGATGCCAGGAGCAGCTCTCCAAGCCACAGAAAGCGCTGCTGTGGGACCGATCCCTCTTTCTGAATGCTCTGAACATTTCCTGCTCACGCCTGGGTTGTCCTTGGCAGTTCCCATTTCCCGATACACCACTTCCTTCAAACCATGTTTGGCGTCATGGAGACCAAAACTGAGGCGAGAGGGCAGCCCAGCTCAGCGGAGCAGCAGAGACCCCGACGTCAAAGGCCAGTTTTCCCTCCTGCTGCTGATCCTCCACAAAGCCTGCCTGCTCAGGCTCCCCCTCAGCATCCTGCAGGCAGAACAAACTTTTCAAATTGTCAATCTGGACAAGTCAACATCCTGTCCCCCGCAGCACAGCCCTACCCTGCTTCTCATTGCTCTTAAAACACAGAAGCAAGAGTATCAGCTTAGTAATCTTCCAGTGCTGAACAGCGCCAGGAGCCACCTGGGCCCTCAGCCCTGCCTCTAAGGATCTGTGTGACATAGCTCTGCCTGCCTCTTTCTCTCCACTTTGTCTTTGCCCGTCCTGGTCTCTCCTGGAATCTGCCCTCCCCATTCTTTGGTTAGCCATCAGCTGCCACCTCCAGAGTGACTTCTTCATTTTAAAAGCCTTCTCTGACCTCTCAGACTAGGTCAAACCTCCCCACTACTCTTTCAAAGCACAATGTACATTTCATCAGGTGTTCTTATAATAGACTCTAAGTGCAGAGAATGAATCTACTTTGCCCAATTTGTCTTCCCAGCACGCATCACGTAGTAGGCCATCAGTAGATATTTTTAAATGAGTGAATGGACAGAATGTTGTGCCCAGAATGGCTTAATCCTTTGGCCCAACTGATGAGGTTACTGAGTTGATCTGCTGTCCACTCAGGTGCAAGCCAGTTCAGTGCAAGAGCCACCGTGGGCCAGGCCTATAGGAGCCTGCATCCCCTGAGACAAGCCCACAGAGTGCCTCTGGAGCCCCAGTGAGGAGTCTGCCTGAGTGAAAAAAGACACCACAACGAGGAAGCCCAAAGTCAAGGCTACTAGAAGTCAAACAGAGAACTCTCCTTATACAAGCAATTTTACCAAGGGTTGGGGACACCTTTACTATGAGTACTGTTGTCAGGAACACCAAGTTTGCACTGCTGGGACAAAATACATCATATCCACACTTAAAGGAGGAATGGTTTTTTTGGCTTATGGCTTTGGAGGTTTCAGTCCATGGTGAGCAGGCTCCAAGGCAGGAACATCATGGCAGAAGGGCACAGTGGAGGCAAGTTGCTCACCTCATGGCAGCCAGGAAACTAAGGAAAGAGCCAGAGAGGAAGGGTCTAGGGAGCAGATATAGTCCCCACAAATTATGCTCTCTTGACCCTCTGAAACAGACCCGGAAGTGTGCTCTTCCAATCTTCTATGTGTCTCTTAAGCTAATCAAGTTGACAATCACGATTAACCAAGAAAACATAAAGTTAACTGAACCAAGTCAGTTTTGACATAGGAGAAAGGAGTGTGCAAACTCCTGGCTCACATAAACCTGATCGAAGCACCTTGCAGGCCTTACCCCAGTCAGATTGCCTTGGCTGAGGGAATCCCTCATACGGATGGAACTGCAGTGCTCAGAGTCACCTGCTTGTCTAACTCATGACCACAAGGGGTGAAGCAGGAGCCAAGTCAGCCTTCTCCAAGCCTGGCTTCCTGTCCCCATCATCCACTGTCTTAGAGAGCAAGGCCATTTTCTAGAAAGGCAGAGGTGATCAAGATAGGCCAGCAAAGGAGACAAGGGCAGGCTGGAAGCAAAGGGAAAAAGTAGGATGGGGATGAGAAGGAGGAAATTTAAGAAAGAGAGGTAGACAGCAGTGCCAAAGGTAGCAAGTAGGCCAGGGGTGCATGGCCTAAGGATGCTCCCTGGGTTCAGTCACTGGCACTCTGGTGAGGGAGATCTCCCAGCTACCCCAGCCTGCGCCTCAGTCTGCCCCACTCCTGAGCATCCTCAGGAGTCAGGGAGACTTCCTTCCTGGGTGAGCCCCTTCTGACTTTTGCTCTCCCTCAGCGTAGGCTCCTCTCTGTTTCACACCGGCCCAGATCCCTGTACCCTCCATTAGGACGGTCAGCCCCGTGTCTGCCTCTCCCACAACATGGCAAGCTCCACAAAGCCAGGGCTGGCGTCTGTCTCATTCAGAGGAAGTGCTTAGGAAGTGAGAGTTCACTGCATAAAGTTGCAGAGCACGGAGACATTAAGTCAGCATCATCCAGCAGACATTTGTGACCTTGGGACTGAGGTCTTGGTTATGAGGTGGATGCCAGACAGCACCAGGCTGAATCAGCAAAGCCTCAGAAACAAAGCCACCAACTCCAGGGAAATAAACATGCCACTCCTTGGGCACAGATGCCCTGGTTATCATCCGCATCTGCAGGCTTGTTTTCAGCCTCTGCCGCCTGGAGGCAGTGAGTGAGCTGCAGAAGAGGAATCCAGCAGCCAGCTGATTGGTCCCTGTGAACTCTAATAGGCCACGACACTCTCTGAGGTCATAGAGCTGGCGAGCTGCAGGGCATCCTGGCAGGGAAGCTTGGGCTCAATCTGTCGGACTCTTCGGGAGCAAACTGGTTACTAGCATCCCCCAGCCTGGGGCCTATTTAAAAACACAGGGTCAAGGCCAGCCTGAACTCCATAGGGAGACCCTGTCTCAAAAATACATCCATCCATACATAGACAGACAGGGTGGGCTGGTCAGCACATACCTGTAATCCAGCATTCTGGAAAGCTCAGACAGAAGGATCACAAGTTTAAGCCCAGCCTGGGCAACTTCATGACTTAGACTCTAGCTCAAAATAAGAAAATTAAAAAATAAAAAGGGCTGGGATGTAGCCCAGTGTGAAGGCCCTGAGTTCAATCCACAGTACAACAAACAAAAACCAAACCAAACCAAAGCAAACCACACAGGGTCCTATTATAAACAAATCTGCATTTCCGTCTCTAATACACTGCAGTGTCTCATAAGACTGGAGTCTCTAATAAGCTCAATAACACTTAGCATTCCACTTTCCTGGAGAAGAGATTGGGATTAAAACAGCTAGTTTTTATTAATGAATGAAGCAGACCAGAGGGGGTTGGTGCTTAGGCCTGCTCAGACCAGGTGCCCCTCGCAAGCTTGGCCTGCGCCACCTGCCTGCCTTCCCAGCCTCACGGCCACCCTTCTAATACCGGATCACGGGGCCAGCCTGCTAGTGACCTGAGACTCCCCGGCTGCTCTTTCTGCAGCTGGACTCTCATGCGAGATCCCCCCTCAGGCTGACAACCTTCTTATTTTCCCTGATAAAGCCTCACTAATCCTTTAAGACCCATCTAAAAAGAAAAGCCACTTCATTGAAGTCTCTGATCCCTTTTTCCTTAGAAGTCTCTGGCTATTCTGTGGTAGCCTGTATGCAGGAACAACAGTAATGCCAGGCCCAGTGGCACGCGCCCGCAATCCTAGCACCTAGGAGGCTGAGGCAGAATGATCATCGAGAGTTTGAGGCCCGCCTGGGTTACATAATGAGCTCAAGGCCAACCTGAATTACATAGTGAGACCCTATACCCCCTCAAAAATAAAAGTAGTAGTAATAATAAAACCTTTAAAATATACTATTATTAGTGAGTGTTGACGAGTGCCAGGCACTGTTCTGCAGGTTGGTCACACTTTGCATTAATCCTCTTCTGTCATCTTCGGTAAGAATTCTTACTACCCCATTTTACAGCCTAGGACACCACGGCTTAGTGGCATCACTCACTTGCCCAAGAGGACACCACTGTTGGGAGCCTGGCTGGGTGTGGACCTGCTCAGCCGCCGGAAGACACAGCCTGTCTTCTTGATCCTCCCAGGGCTGCCTGCCTGCCTGCCTGAAGCTGTCTCCCCACGGAGACCACAGTGCTGCTGCACCCCCTGCCCAAGTCCGTGCTTGGTAAATGTCTGTTCAGTAAATAAATGATAAAAAGACTGTAATTTCTTTCCGAAGAGCTTAACCCACCCGCTAGACTCTCACAACCCTCCAGAGCCGAGGACGGAAGTGGTAGAATAGTTAGGAGGGCGGAAAGGTCAGTGAAAGCCGCAGGGCAGCTGGCGCAGCAGTGGAAGGCTGAGTGCTGCCTCTGGGCCCGGCCTCCCAGGGCACTGCGCAGCCTCAGAGCTCTGCACCCCCACCCCCGGGCATTACCTATTCCCCGTATCCCCCTCGTCTACTGGCCCCACTACCCACCAACCCCGTGCCTCCTGTCTTTGTCCTTCACTCTTCTTCTTGAGCCAAGTTAGGGGTCTTCATCCAGCCTCCCTACCCCAACCTCTTTCCCAGCTGCAGCACCCAGACAGGATCACCAGGCTCACAGGGACACCATGCTCCAGTGCAGTGGTTCCCAAAGCGGGCAGCTTGCTTTCCCAGGGACCCCGGGCAGTGTCTGCAGATGCTCTGGTTATCACGACTGAGGGTGCTTTGGGCATCTGGTGGGTAGAGGCCAGGGATTCTGCTAAACAGCCCACAACGCACAGAAAAAACCCTCACAACAAAGAATCATCGTGCCCCAAAAGTCCACAATGATTCTCTGGAGAAATGCTGGTCTAGTGTGTATTTTTGGTCCTCAGACCGGGGACGCATCTCTTGACAATCTGTCTTAAGAGTTTAAAAAGGCACAATGTCCCAGGAAATACAGCAAATGCTCAGATAAGACGGGACAGTCTAAAATGACAGGCCAGTGTCAGGAAAACACTGCTGTCAGGCAAGTGCCTGGAGCTCTGACCAAGAGAGGAGAGACACCCCTTCCAGGAGCAAAGTGCCAGCGTTGCCAAGGACGGCTGCAGCAGCCAGCGCTGGGCAAGGGCTCAGCTAAAGCTCTGGCACTGCAGTTGCTCACTGCGGCCAAAACGTCAGCAAACCACAGAACCAACCAGTATTTTCCGTCTTCTCAGGCACCCTAGAGCAAAATCAACACTTCTCAGACCCAAATTATGTTGAAATTTTAAAAACCAGTGCTAGTAGTACTTTTAAAACAAACGTGGAAATAACAAACCTAATCTACACAGTTGTTTATTTATTTATTTATTTTTGGTTTTTTGTTTTGTTTTGTTTTTTCTCCCGGTACCAGGAATTGAACTCACGACCTTGCCACTGAGCTAAATCCCCAGCCCCCTATACAGTTGTTTATATCCTCCTAAGACAAACTGCACTGAAGGAACAGTCCCTCCAGGACGGCTTCTGGGATGTTCAATTCTTGGCCTGGGCAGGGGCTATCTGGGCTTGCGCTGAGATTACAAATGCATAGTACAGCGTACACGTATGTCCTGTGGATGTTTCTGTGTGTGTAGGCTTTATTTCAGGTTTTTAGAGAATAGTTTGCTAGGTCCAAGAAAATGAACTTGCGATTTAAATTCTTCCAGTTTTTGAAGATACAGTGTTTCATCTGAGCATTGAAAGGCGTTAACATTTATACTTATTTTGCACTTTCTGTTCTTAATAAAAACATATAATTTAGCATCATTGCTCTTTTTTTTTTTTTTTTTTTTTGGTTTTTCTCTGGTACCGGGAACCGAACTCACGACCTTGCACTTGCCAGGCAGGCGCTTTGCCGCTGAGCTAAATCCCCAGCCCCCTAGCA